CAGTACAACCCTCTGCTAATCACCATCATCATGATTGTGGGAAAGTGATTTTGCCACCAGCTTTGGCTTAATTACCCTCGGGTTATTTTTTATTTTCTTCTGCCCCGAGGTTATTTGATTAGCTTTTCGTGCGCGGGTAAGATGATTTTGGAATTTTCCCAAGGATTAACGTAAATACAAGAGGCTTTTCCTCTGATTTAATCCCCACACGCAATCGGAGTTCGTTTTTGTGAAAATCCATGAATAATTTCCATCGCCCACATGTGTTTGCCATCGAAGCAAACCATTAAATCCGCCGCATAATGGACGCAACAATTTGTCTAGGCAGATAATTGCCGGAAGAAAAAAAAAACAGAAATAATAAAAACCAAATGATAGACTCCATCCAGAAATGGGGGAAAAGCTCAAGTCGAGTGGAAGTTGTGCAACTCATTCTTTCTACGGGGGGTGTGGAAAAACTGGGCGGCAACGGAAAACTCTCCCATTTCATGTCTGACCGCCACCAATCATGCAAAATCCAAAAAAAAAGAATATGCAACCGAAATGGAACCCCAGCAAGAAGTCCAAAAGAACATAAACAATTGAAACTGATTAAATTAATTTGATAACAAGTCCGCACTGACTGACAGACCGAGCATTGAAGCACTTTAGATATGACTGAGGAAACTCAATTCTTCTGAGGGGGTGAAAATAGAGTTGATATGTGAAGCACTTTGGGGAATTCGTTTCGTTGCTAAATTGGAATGTGAAATATGATTTTAATTTAAATAAATTTAGTTTAATTGAATCCCGGATAAATGGGCTGGCCCAAACCAATTACAGATAGTTTAATTCAGTTTCGTTTTTTGTTGGCCTTTTTGGCTGCAGTTGATTGTTTCGAATTATAAAGATTGACATGGAAGTGACCACTTTAATTTATTAGATTTCAACTGAGTAATTTATTCACCAAGTTTTTGAAGCAAAAAATAAATTTTTTATTAGCAATTTTTTTTAACAGCTGAAAAGTAAATTGTTTAGAAAGTTTCATAATCGCTTTCGCACCTGAAGCTATGAAGGTGTGAAATCATAATGAATGATAAGTTATTTATTAAAAGTTGCCTTTATTGTCGCCCACAAAAGCTTCTGACAATTATTAAGCAAACAACAGCATTCACAAATCATTTAGTGGTTTAATTAAGCGCAAGTGGTGGCTTCAATTACGGAGGCGTGGCCAGCAAGCCATAACCGATTTTTTGTTAATGTTGCATAGTTATATTAATGTGCAGCACACGGGGATGAAGTGAAAGCCACTGAAAGGACAATGACTAGACAGTTTTTGAGGAGGGTGAGGATGGATATGCACATAGAAAAACTTATATGTGATTTCGAACTGTTTAATAAAATACTTGGAATGCCAATCATTGTAATATATATTTGCATTTTATTCCTTTTCTTAAAATGCATTCATGTTACGATGTATTCCTCTAGTGACATGTGAGTAGCATTCCCAGCTGGATTTCGAGTGGCAACAGATATTTCTACCCAGCTAGCGAAAAGTTGCACATGCTGTTGCCACAGAAGTTGCTGTTGCTGCAGCAATGGATGTTGCTGTTGCTGTTGCTGCAGCAATGGATGTTGCTGTTTCTGTTGCCACCGCGGCCGCGTCATCGTCCTTGTCACTGCAACAACATCGACATTGCTGCCTTCCGTCCGTGTTGTTCATTTGCCAATTACGCGTTTAACTCTGCATGAAGCCAGACATAACAACCTGGCAACTGGATGGATCACTACACGCGGGAAAAGTTCCCCGAAAATTGGTCATTAAGTACAGACATATGCCAATTTTAAAGAGTTCTATTTTTGATAGATATGAACGGAAATTTTAAACGAAACTCTATGCTATCGAATTCTGAATAAACGATGGAGTGATGGTTAATCTGATTAAGAAATTATTTACTTTAGAATATGCACATGCCATGAAATATTATTTAAAGATATTTATATCTGGGAGATGTGAATGCCTTGGGTATATTTCTCTCCGTGTAGACAGCAGACAGGTGGCAGGGGGCAACCGCTTGTTTATGTTGTCGTGGCAAGTTGGCAACACATGCCGCACGCTCGGGCAAATCTAATGCCTTCGATTCCAACTGCAGCATTAATTATTCGGATGGAGGGTGAAATATTTTTGGCCACGCACACGAGAGATTTTGCTTAAGTTCTGAGCCCCGGGATGCTGATGATTCTGATGATGCCGCTGCGCCCTAATTGAGTTCACATTACTTGCCGAAAATATGTTTCGTACTTTGGCCAAATGTTCTTGCTTTTATTAGCCAAACGTGAGTTGGCAACAATTTCCATTGTGTGCGCCGGAAAATCATGTTCAGTTCGGAGATGATGAATCTCTTGGCCCGCGCCAGTTGAAAGTGTCAAACCATTTAGAGAGATGGGGTTGAGATTAGCAAGTGTTGATAGACAGACCCGAAACGTGACTGGCAAAGTCCGTGGGTTACGTGGATCCGGGGATCTGTTCAGACAGCTGGCAGGGATACAAAGTTCTCGGCCAAAGTTGGGAAACCGTCTCGTCGAGCCGAATGTTAAGGAAAACTTTTTCGGGTGTAAAAAATTGCAGGGTCTGGGAATATGATTTTAATTGGATTTCTTTGTTCGAGAAACATTATTCTAATCTCGTAAGCAGCAGACAGAAAATTCCATAAGCTAAGTACTTAATAATGATAGGGGTACAAAAATAAATGGTTAAAATAATATAAGATGCAATTAGGCAGCAGGTTCATAGGATAATTAAAATAAACCTTTCATATCTAGTTGTTCTGTAGCTGTTCTCGTTATTATGTTAAAACCATTTTTCCTTTACACCTTCAACAATCTGTCTCTTTTTAATTATCTAATGGTGTCCCCCAACTTTTAACCCAAATAACTTTCACCGGCACGTGGAAACTTTCAAGCTGTCGTTCAACCGAACCCCTTTGGTCACTCATTGCAACCGCAAAATCCATCAACTGCACCGACTTTACATATCCGCTCATTTCGCTAACGAGCTGAGCCACAGAAGCACCGAACCAAGAACCAAGAAGACCCCGCCACTTCCCCGATTTGATCCACACCTGACATGGTTTACATAGAGCCCAGCAATTTGGGGCGCACTATTGGGTGGTAAAAAAGAAGTGGGTGTGGGTGTGGAGGGGGGGGTGGCATACTCGTATAGTAAATAGTATGGCATGGATGTTAACCTAACGAACAGTGAATGCCATGCCATGCCATGCCGCAGCTGCAAGTGCATAAAACTCTTCTTCGGGCGATTCTCCTTCACTCTTCCACATGCCGCATTGCTGCCGGGTTGACAATTTAATTGATGTGCACTCACACAAAGGCTTTTGAAGCGACCGCTAAAAAAAATAAAGTAAAATAAAATAAAATAAAAGATAAAGTGACACCTACCTACCCGACGTTGCGAACACATAGTGGAGGATCGGAAAGTAGGTCAGGCATGCAACCCGCTGTCATCGTTGAATAATTGGAATGGGTATCGTCACCCAGCCAGCCAAAACCCACCCAATCCCCAATTCCCCCAAATCCCGAAAAACCTTCGAGGGGAGACTGCAATCGGAGGAGCCGGGCGAAAAGTGAATAGCAGCGGCCACCGCTTAATGGGTTTTAATTTTGATTTCGTTTGACACACGGCTGACACCACTAATAAATTTCCCGGAGCCATGTCAAGTGGAAAGCCTCAACTGGCCATCCATACGAGCCACCCACCTCTTGATTGATTGTCCGCTGGCGCTTTCAGCAAATAGATAAGGCAGTCGAGGAGCCAGAAACCAGAAACCAGAGCTCGAATCAAACGTGAATTACGACGAGTGGCAAACGCTGATAACTGGCTAGATAAGCGCCTGATTAGCCCTGCACAACAGTCCAAATATTTACCTAGTTATTCACAAGTGACGCGATGCAATCTGTGGAAATACTCCTAAGCTGCCGAACTCCTGACGCCCATCAATCACCCGGCCTTTTTTTGTTTGCACAAATAAAAACACGCGAGTGTTGTAAATTTTACAACATAATTTTTGATAATTTTTCCCCTATCTCCAGCTCCTGATTTCACCCATCTCCATGTAGCCCCCATATATATACGTATAAAATAAACACTTTGCATGTGTTTTATGATTCCACATGGATTTGTCCCCACTCGGTCACCCTTTCCTCGGGCTACTGATTTATTTTTTATATTCACTGGGTTGTAAATTCTTTGTCTGGGCTTGTGACACATTGTAAAACAATTTTCCCCACTTTTATTAGCTAGGCAATCTTTTTGGCCGGATTTTGTGGGTGTTTTCTTTTTGGTCGATAACAGCTTGAGTTTGAGATACGGAAGGGACTGATGTAAAAGAATAAATTGGAGAGTAGATTTAAGGTATTGAGACGATGTTTTAAGATATCTTAAAGACGATAAGTTTACTTTAAAGTTCAAACAAAGTTTAATTTTGTATCTTTCTGCATCTTTTAGTAAGATAAACAATACCAACTTTAGCTAGCAGGCATAACGGCTTAAAAATTGTTACAATATTCCACTTTAAAAAGCCCTTTTGGCCAAAATACAAACAAAATCTAATAGTTAAATAAACAAGCCAATTTCACAAAAGCAACATCGAAATTCCTATTGAGACACTATTTCAATGTAGCTTTCTTATTTATCAAGGTAAATGAAATAATAAATTAAAATATGGAAACATGCTTGGACAAATACCTAAAACTCAAAATAAACTAGACAATTTGACAAAGGGACTTAGTAGCTCTAAGCCTAAAAGCAATTAAAAGCATATATTATTTACAGAAAAATAAGTAAATAATCCTCTTCATTTGCCCGAAGCAAAACAAGAAAGCCTTGGCTTGGCATAAATCAAATTCGATTTAAAGTCTGACGCAGACCAAAAGTGGCAAATAATTGGTCGCCTAATTGAAAAATCAAATGGCAGTTTAAGTTTTGGATTTCCTTGATAACTTACCGATTAAACGCAACACCTCGTGCAGATTGAGGAAAATGTTTAGGTGAGCCTGACCGCTGGCGACCAGGGTCAAAAGTAATCCGATTGTCAGGAAATTGCTCCGGCTATTGGCCATCTTGAGATTGGACTTCTACCGATTTATCGCTATTAGAGTTTAAACAGTTTTCTTCTTTTTTTTTTTTTGTTTTACTCGTTTTTTGGCACTGGCAAACAATTTAATTTCCGCTGCACTTGCTGTTCACTTTTCCCGTTGCAATTGAATTTTCGTATGCGTCGCGTAGATTTTAATCCCGCTGATTATTACACGAATTGTTCGTCAGAGCATTTGGCACTGTGCCTTCTGGCCGGGAAACTCAGGCGCACATATTTCCCAATCAGCAGTCTCTGCACCCGTTATTCCTCGTTTTCCTCGCAGTTTTCCGCGTTCGATTCCCGGCTGATGCGAGCACCGTGACGATTTTCCACAAACTGTCAACTGGATAAACAAACAATTTGCCACGAGCCGAATTCAAGACTCTGTGGGCTTGATGGAACCCTGTGCAACGAGGGTGGATCCAGCGTTGCAGAGGCAACAGAGAATCTGTTGGATACATGTTCGTGGGTATAACAGTTCGACCTTGGCAGCTCCCATTGGTTGCAGTGCGATGTTGGGATGTTCGTGGTGGTTCGAAGTCAACAGCAACCTTTTCGAACCCATACCAACGAGAGGTTTGAAGTTCAGAAATATTTGAAAGGACGTCGAACATTTATCGGTTTGTTTTTCATGATAAAGATTATATCTTTACTAAAAACCAACCCATAAAGAATGTGTTATATTTTATAAATAGCTAATTTATTTATTGGGATTATATCAAATAAATATAAATAAATACGTATACTTTTTAGGTACATTATTTTGCAATACAAATTATCCGTTAACAGACATGGAATGGGAATATGTAAGTACTTTTACATATAATAGGAACCAAAAGTGTAACACTAAAACACAGTAACTAAGATTAAATTTGCACACAAAAAATATTAGGAAATCTTTGGAATTTCTATAAGCTGCCTTCAACTCATCTGAACTACTGGTAATTAATGGGATGGGTCCAACCCAAATACTTGATATTTTGACACAATACCTTCAAGTAATGCAATACATCTATTATTTTTACTTAATACTAAGACAAGCACATTAGGCCTCCACCTTCAGCTGATCGATGGAGCTCAAAGTAGTTTCAATAAGCAGATTGTAGTCCAATTCGTTTAGACTGGCCTTGGCTGTCAGCAAGTCAAGAAATGAGTCTAGTGGCGAAAGGGCTTCGGCAGTTAGATCTAGAAATATAAAACACAAATTATACTTTAGCCAAAGAAATGCTATTAAAACAAGAAAACAAATTGCTCAAATGGTACAAAGACTGGCGAACACTGATCAGCTTTTCAGCTCTTCTTACCGTGCAGCGATTTAGGTTTTATTTCTACCAAGTGAGCGGACGTTGCCTGAAAACATAGCTGGATATGCTCAGGACGACCGATGTCAAAATGATAAGCAGAAAAACCAAAAGCAGCGAGTGGCAAACAACAGTGTTGGGCTTGCCCAAAGCTGGACGAGATGTGTGTGTAATGAGTGTGCAAATGAAAAATGATTATGTTAGGATGAGTTAAAGGAACTATTTCTCACCGCTACGCGCATTATTGCGCGACTGGTTCGCACAAACGGATGGCCTCTGCTGCAAAACCTCCTGTTGCTGGCCCGACAGAATATTGGCCGCATGCTCACGACCACGAATCATAAGACTATCCGGATGCTGCCAGCATTTCAGCAATCGTTGGGCCCTTTGCTTGGGCAGAGCCGATAAAAGCGACAGCTTTCGCTCAATACCCAAAGGGGAATCTTCAATATCTACAGATCGAAACAAGAAGATATTGCAATAAAATGTACAGTAAATGAGAGTATTACAAACCCACCAAAAACAATGGCCTTCATCACATCCACTTGCAGTTCGAAGACATGATTTTCCACATATTGCAAGAACATATCATAGCCCAAGGCACGATAACCCAAGTAGGTGAAGAACGAGGAGAATCCTTCGGGCAGGGGAAAGGCAATTGATTCCACAGCCAGGCAATAGCGTTCAAGAATGAGGAACAGCGAGTGCTGCTGGTTGGCAGCCATCTGGTCACTGCAATTAACAAGTACCTAATTAATATAAATAATAATCATTATCTGAGCTTAGTTTAACCCACATCAACTGAAAGCCCCTCAAAGTCTCCATGCGAGCATCTAGACCCGCCGCTCGACAAACCAGTGAGCAAAGGGCCCGCGAAAGCTCCAATTGCGAGGAAACAAACTGTGAGGCGACCGCATGTACATGAGCTGGAGCCTGGGAGCGCTCAAAGAAGGTCTCCTTCAACCAGCGAAAGCCTGTGTGTGGCTTCGAGGAATGCTTCACCAAATGGACGCTCAGTTCGCGCAGATACTGAAAGAAGCACAGCTTTAATAACATGAATTCATCTGGAATAGATTCCAACATACCACTGAAATCACATGCTCCTGCTTGCTGGCCGTGCATCCCTCCAGTTCGATAAAGGGCAGCACCTCGTTGCTAAACGGAAAAGCACTTCCACTGCTATAGTCGCCAAAGCCACCGGTGCCCGCATCCGGTGTAGTGCATCTGGAAAGTGCCTCCGGCTGATAGCAAGCCAGACTGAAGATCAACTTTTCAGTCACCTGCTCGGCACTGAACCTCGGCTGCTCCTGCTTGGCCGACTCGTTTAGAAGATCCCACAGCCTCGTCCAAATATCCGTGCGATATGGCGACAATCTCTGCTGCGGGGACAGCAACATCATGCTGGTATTGTGCAGGGTTTCATGGGAGAGACCCACGCTTATATCAGCCACTTTCGCATGAATTGGTCGCGATGCCAAAGCAGTTGTTAGGGGCAGCAACCTCATTAGCGGCTTGGCCTCCTCCGGCAAGCCGCGCACTGCAGCCGCATAACTTCCCGCCACAAGAGCCTCCTTCAGCAGGGCCACTGTGTCCAGGGAAAGTGGACGCTCTAGGATACTATTCAGCAGTTCGGCCAGCACGTCCATGTCGTTCGAGTGCAGCAAAAAGTAATGAATGATGCTGATTCTGTTATCCAGTGAACTATCATTCCGGAAGGCCTCGATCAAATGGGATTTAGGCACGGTAAGAGAGACCAGATCCAAAGTGGCCGCATCATAGGCCAAGGCTCCCCACTTTCGCAGGGGCACCAGTTGCGAGCGATCGACACTTCGATTGTGAGCGGCACACACGATGTGGCAGTTCGGTTCGTGGTGCAGTCCCACGTCCAGCAGATGAACAAAGAAGGCGGACGATACGAGCAAATGATGCTGGCCGTGCAGCGCAAATGTGGGCCTCAGCAGACGGGCCTTCTGCCATGGAACACCGGGCATGACGCAGTGCACCACACAGCCGTGGTGCAACAAAGTCACTGAGTAGGCAAAGTGCACGTCCTTCTGATCCGATTGCATCGGCTGATACAGATAGTAGTGGCACACAAAGAACATTCCCGATGTGTCCGCCAGAATAATGAGATTCAGAGAACTGTCATGAACGCGCAAAGGAACCGCATCGTCATCGTAGCTCGGATTTTCCTCGTTGGAACCATTGGGCAGCTTTGGTAGGTTGAGTGGAATATTCAGCTAGGAAAGAGGAAAACGTAAGTAGAAATGGCAATAATCTATATTCCGATCAATATCACCCACCACTGTTTCCGTGGGCTGTTTCTCGTTGAACTGGAAGGCCGAGAGGGTTGGACTTAAAATGGGAGCCACCTGTTCACCAGTCTCCTCCCTTTCATCGAGCAAACTGAGGCTCTTGGCCTTCGGCTTCAAATGGATGTAGTAGAGGGCCTGGCACTCGGGATCCCACTGGGCCCAACTGAAGTTCTTGGCCAGCGTTTCATGGGTCAGAATGCTGGTGTCCAGATGCCAGGCGCTTGCATCCCCTGATCCGATTGCCGGGGAGGTCGTCGAGCTTTGCTTCACTACGCAAGTAAACTGTTTGATGGCTGGGGAATTATATAAAAAATAATTAATTAAGATAGATACGGTTCTCCAATAGACTTACATTCCTCATGGGTGAGCACCAGTAGCTTGTCCTGCCAGCAGGTGCGTGTGGCGCTCTCCACACGCCACAAAAACTGGGTCATCATCTGGCGTGGGGTGGGCTCTGGATTAAGGGGCGTGGCAGTGCCGCCCTCCGAGCTACGCACCTCCACGATAAATGCCTGATAGAGTTTGCCTTCGGTTTTCTCCACAAAGGACAGCAAGGTGACACTACTATTTATGGTCGCCTGGATAATCTCGCGGGAGTTCTGCAAAGTCCAAAGAAGTCTTAGCTGCTTTTTGGTGGCATGAAAGTGCCCAATGCAGGTCTCCTTGCGCTGGTCTTCATCGGAATACTCAAATATCCAGGAGGTTAGCAAGGATCCATCCTGTTCCTGTCCCAAAATTCGCCACTCGTTTGCCTTCTCTGCTTTTTAAAAGAGCTATGTGTCTTAAAATCAGTGTCAAATAATGTCCAAAATGGTCTTACCCTTGTAACCCTGGCTGGCCAGCAGGCCACAGAAGTTGGCTGCTAAATTCTCCTGCCGCAGCATTTCGATTTTAATTTAATATTTTATAAAAACAACATTTGGTACGAATTTTCAATTCTCCAATTGGAATTTTTGCTGCCAGTGTGCACGTTGCGCGGTAGCACGAAAAATACCATCCCCTGCAAAAACCGTTACACTTACCTACAGGGTGAACCTTGCCATATTTCAAATCCGTGAGTCAGTAAAAATTGACAAAATAAACTTAAAATTTAAATACATAATTAGCACCCGAAACATATAATAAAACTAATAGATATGAGTAAACGAAATCGATAACAGAGTGCTCTTAAGAAATCAAAGTACTTTTATCTTATAACAAATTCTGCTTATATCGATATCAACTCTTATATTTCTTCCTCAGCTAGCATAAATTTAACAGTTATTATTTAGAGATAAAAAAAAGCGAAAGTTTTACCAAAAAAAGAACAATTAAAAATGCCAAGTGAAATAATAACTCTTCAATTGGGCCAATGCGGAAATCAGAGTAGTTAAATCAAACCGGTAAAATTACAACTTAAACAATAATCTTACTTTCGCAGTTGGTTTCGAGTTTTGGAAGAGATTGTGCCTGGAGCACGGGATCTCTCCTGATGGCGTCCTTGAAGACTTTGCTACCGATGGACAGGATCGCAAGGACGTTTTCTTTTATCAAGCGGATGACAATCATTATATACCAAGAGCAGTTCTGCTGGATTTGGAGCCCCGGGTCATTAACAACATCATGACCTCTCCATATGCCAAGGTCATTAAACAATTTTTACTACCTTCATATTTTTTTTAAAAATACTTTAAAACAAAAGCAAAATATACAACAAATTATTGTTTTTTATCATTGTTATTTTTAGCTTTACAACCAAGAAAATGTTTATCTCTCAAAACACGGTGGAGGAGCGGGAAACAACTGGGCCTCTGGTTTCAGCCAAGGAGAAAAGGTTCAGGAGGAGGTTTTCGATATCCTCGATCGGGAGGCAGATGGCAGCGATTCGCTGGAGGGGTTCGTTCTCTGCCACTCGATAGCTGGCGGCACAGGATCCGGAATGGGATCTTATGTCCTGGAGCGTCTCGCGGACCGCTTTCCCAAAAAACTTATTCAAACATACAGTGTTTTCCCCAATCAGGATGAGATCAGCGACGTGGTTGTCCAACCATACAACTCGATTCTCACTTTGAAGCGACTCACGAAGTGCGCAGATAGCGTGGTGGTCCTCGATAATACCGCTCTAAATCGCATCGCCACCGAGAGGCTACACATCCAGACTCCCACTTTTACGCAGATCAACAATTTGGTGTCCACCATCATGAGCTTGAGCACCACCACTCTGCGATATCCCTCTTATATGAACAATAATTTGATTGGTTTGACTGCCTCACTTATTCCCACACCAAGGCTGCACTTCCTGATGACTGGATATACTCCACTGATCACAGACTACGAGGTAAGTTTGCTGAAGTTTAAATTAAAGTTAACATTTTTTAATATCATTGCTCTTAAAAAAAAATACAAAATCTGCAGACCAAAACAAATGTGCGGAAGACCACCGTGTTGGATGTGATGCGCCGCCTTCTTCAGCCCAAGAACATGATGGTGTCAGCCACAACTGACAAGCAGAATCGGCATTGCTTCATCTCGATTCTAAACATTATCCAGGGCGAGGTGGATCCCTCCCAGGTGCACAAGTCTCTGCAGCGCATTCGGGAGCGAAAGCTGGCCAACTTTATTCCTTGGGGTCCCGCGAGTATTCAGGTGGCCTTACCGCGTAGTTCTCCGTACGTCCAATCGGCCCACAAGGTTTCCGGGTTGATGATGGCCAATCACACGGGAATAAGTGCGCTTTTCAAAAGGGCCCTAACCCAATACGATAAGTTAAGGAAGCGCAACGCCTTTCTGGACAATTTCCGTCGAGTGTCCATGTTCAAGGATGATCTAACCGAACTTGATATTGCTCGTGACACAGTAGATTGCTTAGTACAGGAATACGAGGCGGCCACTCAGATAGACTATCCGCAGTGGAGTCCACGATTGGAGGCTTCCAAGGCCGCCTAATTTAAAAGTTTACGAACAATTTTTAACACAACACTTTTAAAGTATATTTTGTTTAATCAAGCAACCCTAGAAGTTAAATTCAATAAACCTTTCTTTGAAGCCTCATACCTCTATAGGTTTTTGTCATTCGTTTTCAAAAATTCATTGTGTTAACACCTTTTAAAATAGTTGTTGTCCAAAATTGTTCAATACATATTTTGTTGGTTGTAAAATCCTGTTTCTTAAAAAAAACCTGAATGTAAGTTTGGTTAGAATTTTGAAGTCCAATCGTAAATGTATTTTTTATCAGAAGGAATCAAGGATTTTTTGCTGCATTTAGCAAAGACAAACTTTTAGGCTTACGTAAGTATAGAAAGTATGTACAGAGCTTATTATGTAATAATAATAATTATAATATTATATTTGAAAGATCATGTGCTGCGGACCTTGTGGACCACGATGCTGCGATCCTTGCGGAGGTTGCTACAACTGCTGCATTGAACTTTGCTGTTCGCCATGCACTCCCGCCTATATTCAATGCTCCTTCATGCCGTGCGGTCCCAGCGGTTGTTGCTAATATATAACCTGTTAAAGAAGCAAGGATTTTAATTTCCATCATTTTGAAAACGAATAAATTCGGATAGAAAATAATTTTTCAATTAATTTTAAATGGTTTTGTGGTGGGATATGGGTTTCTTGGTCATATATGGTGGCGTGCTACCTAAAATAATATGAAATGCCAAATTTTTCTTTGAACAAAGTATTAAAAATCAAAGCTTGCTTGATTCAGACGACATAATTGAGTAGGTACATGCGAGTTATGTATGTTCGTTTTTTAGTTCTTAATGGGAAGCTTTAAACACTATATGTAAGTATTATCAAAAAAAGATTATGAAACAATTTCGATATATTGCATTTTATTATTACTTTATTTAGGCCGATTACCTTGACTTAGTTGCAATCATCTACTTATTTTTGCCCGCCACTCTTACAGCAATAATAATTGTTGTAGCAGTGTAGCGTCAAAACACTTTTCAGAAACCACATATATGTAGATTTTGTAGGCATCTAGTAGCTCCACAATTTGATCAGAAGTCAAAAGTTTAAGAGCTGGTGAATGCTGTCAAGTTATTTCCCCATTCCATCTCCTAACGTCGTCGTGAACACATCAAAAATAAAACACAAATTTTTTTGTTGTGGCGAGTATCTAGCAAAAAAATAGACTATTTAAAGCAAAGATAACATTTTTTTTATTTTTTTCAGTTCACATGTGTAGCAGGACTTAAGCCTTCTTCCTTTCTTCTTTCTCCCTTTGTTCCGGCCTGAACTACTCCCGAAATCTACTGCTTCAAGATGTGCTGCAATCCAGGAGGCTGCTGCAATCTACCAACTTGCATCCAGTGCACAAACTTCTGTTTCAATTGCTGGACGGGGACTGCAGCAATCCCTTGTTGCCGTCGTACCTGCGTTCCAGGATGTTCTAGTAGTCCCAGGTGTTGTTGTTGAGCCCGGAACGACATGCTCTTCAAAATTCTGAAATAAATTTCATCTGAATAAACCTCTTAAATAAACTGCATTCAAAATTTTCCGTAATAAATTGCTTTTTAAATAATTTATTGGTGGTTGTTCATGTCATAATTATCCAAGTTTTCGATGAAATGCAGATATGTAGGTGACCACAAGCGGGGCACCAGGTCCCATAACTTTTACAATTTTACTTGGACTTTAAAGTGGCAGAGGTATATTCGTAATTGTATTCATGCATTTCAAATTTTCCGTTTCCAGGGGGTCCAATTTTTTACCTCTGTTCAGGTCAAAATTTTTCAAGTTTCCGATGGGTTGCAGAAAGGTAACTCAATGCGGAACCACCACATACGATTTCAAAGTGGCATAGCTCTAAGCTTTTGTAATCGAAATCATTTGGCATCGTTGCGGCCACCGAGGTCTGGTCACACCACTCCAAACAAATACGCTAATCTCTGGGCAAAAAGTAAACAAAAAGAGCGTATTAATGCGATAAGGTGGCCGTAAAGGCGAATGGATTCCATTGCCAAGATGACGGAGGGCAGCCACTGGCTAACTTGGTGTCGCCTCTGCGCCAAGGACGATGCCCGTGGCAATGTGAAGGTGCAAACGGGGGACAATGCCCAAGGAACCTGGGATAATGTCCTGATAATGGCCATTCGCAAGTATTTCGAGGTGCAGGTATGTCGGTAAAAGTTGAGATACATGTCCGGGATACATGCGGCTTATATTTCCCCGTCAGATGCGACTGGAGGATGAGCTGAGCAGCGTGCTGTGCACGGAATGTTATACGCTAATCAGCGAACTTATCGATTTCGCGGAGCATGTCACAAAAGTCCAGGCCATTTTTGAGGTCCTGCGACGTACAGAAACGGTGTCCAACAAGCACTTGGATTTAGCGGCACTGCGTAAACAGTATGGACTAGGCGAGGACGACTGGACGCACATCATCAAACCCATGCAGGCACCCGAAATGGATTCGGCCCTGGATGCCACCGAAATCTATCAAAATCAAACAAAAGTATTAGAGGAATCTCCAATAGCAGATAAAACTAAACTGGATCTGGAAGATTCGGAGAGAGAAATGGTATCGCACCTTCTCCAACCCAAGGACAGCCTGGGAAATGAAATACCAAAGCAGGAGTTTATTGACATAGGTCCTATTTTGTTGGAAAAGAGCACACATCAACCAAATATCGACGATATGCTTGTTGGACTACATGAAGAGGAGTTAGCCGAGTGTCGCGTTGACAGTACAGTCTCACCAGTTGCTCAAGAGCAGGATGTCAAGTCAGAGTTGCTTGACAGTTTTGATGACGATACCGAATTCCAGCCCTTAGAAACGCAGCAAATAAATCTCGTTATTACTACAGCCGCAGCAGACTCTCAAGGACCAAATGCAGCCGAGCCGGCCAAGCGTGGACACATGAACTGCGACAGATGTGGCAAGGTCTACAGGAATCGCGCCTCCTACGAGAAGCACTTGGAACGCAAGTGTCGCAGGATCGTGCGGCGAGTAAAAGCGGACAAGACAACGACCACCTGTGATTTGTGCAACAAAACGCTTTCGTCCACCACGGCTTTAAAGCTCCACAAAGAAGGTATCCATCAGAATGTCAAGCCATATATCTGCGATAGTTGCGGGAAACAGCTGAAGACAATTACAGCTCTAAATGAGCACAAGCTGGTGCATACGGACAATCGTCCATTTGAGTGCAGCGTTTGCAAGGCGGGCTTCAAGAATCAAGCTCGTCTGAAGGCACACCATCAAATCCATGCGGAGCCCAGCTTCGTTTGTAATATTTGCGGGAAGAAGCTGCAGACGCGGCGCACCTGGAACATGCACAAGGTGGTGCACAGCGAAGAACGGCGCCTCAAGTGCGATGTCTGCGGGGCGCTCTTTAAACGTTCAAAAACCCTCAAGACGCACCTGCTCAGCCACACGGGATTACGACCGTATGTTTGCAACTACTGCGGAAAATCATTTGCCTGCAACGCCAATTGTCGTTCGCACAAGCTCAAAAAACATCCCCAGGAGGTTCAGCAGGAGGACGGCGCAAGACTTTCTTCTCGCTTGAATGTGCCAACGCTGGAAGAACTTCGTGCTATGTAAGTAGAACCTTTAAAGCCATTTGCATCTGACTTATTTCAATGTTTCCAGGACTCAAAAACTACCAAAAGGAACAAATTAATATGTTTTTGTTTTTTTTTAAATTTTGTTTTTTAATACTACTAACCAACTAATTTTATGGTAAATGTTTAGGATTAAAAAAAAAAATTATGATATAAATCATAAAATAACTGAATAGACTTCGGCTTCTGTAAACATTTTTGTTTTAATAAAAAATATTAATTACAAAACAAGATTATAAAGAAATTTATTTGTTTTCAACTGCCAGTAATCTTTTTTAAAAATTGTAGGTCCCTTATATTTTGGTTAGGTATTATAACATTTCTTAAAAGGCCTTAAATTAACACCTCTATAAGTCTAAATTTGAGCCCGGTTTTTGTCAGAAATTTTCATAACTTCGCTAATTTTTATCCGATTTGAAATTGGCCATAATCACTAAGAAAAACGCTAAGAAAAAATACCGTTTGGCATCGCCACGGTATTAGCTGAACAACGAGGTCTGGTCACACACTCCAAACAATTGCGCCAATCCCTGGGAAAAAAGTAAACAAAAAAAGAACATACTGAGGCGACTAATTGACCGTACAAGCGAACGGCTTCTATTACCAGGATGACGAAGTGCAGCAACTGGCTAACTTGGTGCCGCCTCTGCGCCAAGGACGATGCCCATGGCAATGTGCAAGTGCAAATGGGCGAAAATGGCCAAGGAACCTGGGACAATCTCCTTATAATAGCCATTCACAAGTATTTCGAGGTGCACGTAAGTCGGCCAGAGATGAGATACAAGCGTGGATTACCTGTGTTTATTTTTTACTTGCAGATGCTAAAAGATGAGTTGAGCATTGTGCTGTGCGCCGAATGTTACACGCTAATTAGCAAACTTATCAATTTCACGGAGCATGTCACAAAAGTCCAGGCCATTTTTGAGGTCCTGCAACGCTCAGAAACGGTGTCCAACAAGCACCTGGATTTAGCGGCACTGCGTCAACAGTATGGACTCGGCGAGGACGACTGGACGCACATCATCAAACACATGCAGGCCCCCGAAATGGATTCGCCCCTGGAACCAAATATGGAGGATATACTTGAAATGGAGTTAACCGAGTGCCGCGATGACAGCACAGTCTCACCAGTTGCTCAAGAGCAGGATGTCAAGTCAGAGTTGCTTGACAGTTTTGATGACGATACCGAATTCCTGCCCGAAGAAACGCAGCAAATAAATCTCGTTATTACTGCAGCCACAGGAAACTCTCAAGAACCAAATGCAGCCGAGCCGACCAAGCGTAGACACATGAACTGCGAAAAATGTGGCAAGGTATACAAGAATCGCACCTCCTACGAGAAGCACTTGGAGCGCAAGTGTCAGAATGCCAAGACATATATTTGCGATACCTGCGGGAAACAGCTGAAGACAACTACAGCTCTAAAAGAGCACTACCTGGTGCATACGGACAATCGTCCATTTAAATGTAGCGTTTGCACGGCGAGCTTCAAGAATCAAGCTCGGCTGAAGGCACACCATCAAATCCATGAGGAACCCAGTTTTGTTTGCAATATTTGCGGAAAGAAGCTGCACACGCGGGGAAACTTGAAAAAACACAAGGTGATGCACAGCGAAGAGCGGCGCCTCAAGTGCGATGTCTGCGGCGCGCTCTTTAAACGTTCAAAGACCTTTAAGAACCACCTGCTCAGCCACACGGGACTACGACCGTATGTTTGCAACTACTGCGAAAAATCATTTACCACCAACTACAACTGCCGTTTACACAAGCTCAAGAAACATCCGCAGGAGGTTCAGCAGGAGAACGGCGAAAACCTTTCTTCTCGTTTGAATGTTCGCTTGCCAACGCTGGAAGAACTTCATGCTATGTACGTAGAGCCTTTAAAACCATTTGCATCTGACTTATTTTTATGTTTCCAGGACTCAAAAACTACCAAAAGAAATAAATTAATATATTTTTGGTTTTCTTTTTATAAATACTGTTTAAATAAAATAATTTAATTGCAAAATAAGATTTTAAAGAAGTATAGTTTTTTCTTTTTTTTAATCTTTTTAAAAAAATTTAGATCAACAATGAACCACCTACATAAAGGTTAAGGAAAAATACTGTTTAGCATCGCTAAGGTATCACCTAGACAACGAGGTCTGGTCACACATTTCAAACAAATACGCTAATCTCTGAAAAAAACGTAAACAAAAAGAGCATATTGCGGCGACTAATTGGCCGTACAAGCGAACGGGTTCTATCGCCGGGATGACGGAGTGCAGCCACTGGTTAGCTTGGTGCCGCCTCTGCGCCAAGGACGATGCCCATGGCAATGTACAGGTGCAAATAGGCGAAAATGGCCAAAGAACCTGGGATAATGTTCTTATAATAGCCATTCACAAGTATTTCGAGGTGCACGTAAGTCGGCCAGAGATGAGATACAAGCCTAGAATACCTGTGCTTTTTTTTACTTGCAGATGCGACTAGAGGATGAGCTGAGCATCGTGCTGTGCACCGAATGCTACACGCTAATCAGCAAACTCATCAATTTCACGGAGCATGTCACAAAAGTCCAGGCCATTTTTGATGTCCTGCGACGCGCTGAAATGGTTCCCAACAAGCAGCTGGATGTGCCGGCACTTCGTCAACAGTATGGACTCGCCGAAGACGACTGGACGCACATCATCAAACCCGTGGAGGCACCCAAAATTAATTCCGCCCTGGAAGCCGCCGAAATCCAACAATATCAAACAAAAGTATTACAGGAATCTCCAATCGCAGATCAAACTAAACTTGATCTTCAGGAACCGGAGACAGAAATGGTGTTCCACATTGTCCAAGCACATAACAGCGCGGAAAACGAAATAACCAAGCAGGAGAGAGAAGTGATATACCACATCGTCCAAGCAAAGGAGAGCCTAGGAAATGAATCATCGAAGCAGGGGACCAAAGACATAGATCCCGTTTTGTTGGAAAAATGCACAAATGTGAAACCACCTGAAGAGGAGTTGTCCAACTGCCGTGTGGACAGCACAGTCTTACAAGATTCTCAGGAGCAGGATTTCAAGTCAGACAGCTTTGATGAAGATGTCGAATTCCCGCCCGCAGAAACACAGGAAATTAATTTCGTTATTACGTCAGTCACATCGGATTCTCAAGAACCAAATGCAGCCGAGAGGGCCAAACGTAAAAACGGGGCGACCTGTGACCTGTGCCACAAAACACTGTCCTCCGTTGCGGCTTTAAATATTCACAAGCTGGTGCATACGGAGGATCGTCCTTTTGAGTGCACCGTCTGCAAGGCGAGCTTCAAGAATAGAGCAGGTCTCAAGGAACATCAAAACACCCATGCGGAGCCCAGCTTCCCTTGCAATATTTGCGGGAAGAAGCTGCAGTCGCGGCGCACCTTGAGCGGGCACATGGCGGTTCACAGCGACGAGATGAACCTGAAGTGCGATGTTTGCTTCAAACGCTTTAAACGCTCGAAGTACCTTAAGTCGCACCTGCTTAGCCACACGGGATTACGACCGTATATTTGCGACGTTTGCGAAAAACCGTTTGCCTGCAGAGCGAAATGCCATTCCCATATGCTTAAGAAACATCCCGAGGAGGATCAGCAGATGCTTCGTGCAAAACTTTCTGCTCGCTTAAATCTCCCAACGCTAGAAGAACTTCGGGCTATGTAAGTAGTGCTTGGAAAAACAGTTGCATCTGACTCATTTCAATATTTCAATGTTTCCAGGACTCATAAACTACGAAAAGAAAAAAAATAAATATGGGTTTTTTAATATTATGTGAATAATATTAACTAAGTATATTTATAAGATTGAACTGATTATTTATATTATAAATAATAAAATAAGAATCAAGACTTTGGCTTTAATAAAAATTATTTGTTTGAATCAAACAAATTGGTTGAAAAAAGGTTATAATAAAAATTGGTTGTCTTACAACTATATATTACCATCTTTTGAAGAAATTTTTGCACTCTCTTCTTACTTTCAATGTTAATTTGGTTGGTAAGTTAGTTCCATGCTTTACCTGCAATTAGGACTTAGCAAATAATAAAACGCATCTGATTTATTTAAAAACAAAATAATTTTATTGTGGTTTAATGGAAATAGAAATTCTTACAATACAATTGTTGTTGCTGGTTGTTCTTGTTGGTTGGTTTAATATTAATGTTACACAACATTTTTTAAATGTTAATTAATACCATATTTTAATATAATAATAATTTCATGTTTTTTTCTTTTTTAATTACTTCGAAAATTGTGGCCCCTAAGCATTAAAAAGACTTTCATTTGTTTCTATTATTATTTTACTGGATTTTAGAGTAGAGTTCAAAATCTGTTATATCAAATTCAAATAGATGTTCCCGAACTCGCCACTCTAGCAAACTGCAGCTTTTAATAAATTATGATTTTTTTTCTTTGTTATACGTTTTTCCACATGTATAAAAATATTTTTATATAATTTACTGTAAGTACTTTTGGTTTTCTCTTACACATTACATTAATGAGTTGTTATCTTGTGTTTGCCTTAATGTTTTATATATAAGTATATATATAAAATGCGCATACAGTTGGAATCTTAGTTAATAATAATAGTTAATGAGTTAATAACGTTCACATTCAATTACATCGTATTCGATTTAGTTACGATTAATATTACATTTTAATTCGCTTTTGTTTTTAGCTTGTTCTTGAGGAATTCAAATTGAATACAAAAAAACAGTTGGTTGTAATTGAAAATACAAAATATTCAAGTTAAATGCGTATTTGGTTTCGATTTTTCAAGAAAATTGTCATTGTTTATTGGTTTATTACATTTAATTGTGCTCGAGTTGTGGGTAAGATTGGGTTGAGTGTTGAATGACTGATTGAATGGTCGAGTGACTGACTGACTGAGTGAGTATCATGCAGGGTGTCTGAGGAGCTGAGCTGAGCTGATCCTGGCAGTAAGTTGAGTCAGTTACAAACTTGAACCGAATTGTAATTGTTCTGTACTGTGGTTAAATCTTTGTATGCATATTAGAAACAGTATATAGCATATAGTATGCATTTGGTGGGCGTGTATATATTTTTTATTTTCCTTTTTCATTTCAACGCAAAAAGTTAACAATTTCTCGTTCGAAACAGCTGAGAATGGCCTGCCTGACAAAGTCTACATGTAATATAGCTTTTTTTTATATATGTATAGAATAAAAATGCCAACCCTCTATGATATACATTATTTGCTTGTCAGTCCATATTTTCCACATTTTCTTGTCCTTTGCTTTAACATTTTTGTTTTGAGTTTTTTTTTTTTTGGTTTTTTTGGTTTTAGTTTTGTATTTCTTAAGTGTAAAACAAAATTTGAGCGAAATATACGAGTTGTAACTGAACGTACAATGTAAACAATTAACCATAAAGAAAACATATTACTTTAGCTGATAAAATGTTTTGTTTTCATACTACTATTTAGTATATGAAAGCCATTTAAGCAACACCCTGTATACAGTATACACTTGTTTTTTATTTTCAAATTCAACTTGGCTTTAGCAGAGAAATTCAAATTGCGGGAGACGTTAAAATCAATCCTTACACAGAAAATATATAAATCGTTAGCTAAAACATAATATATATGTGTATATAAAGAAAACTTAATTACAACGACATTTAACATTAGATTGGTGTTCTTTTTGCGGTTTTTTTTTTTTTTTTTTTTTTTTTTTTTTAATATTAATTATTATAAAAATACATATATGTATGCATGATGACTAGATGATGATTCCATGATCGGCTTAGTTGCACTATATAGCTTTATAAATACTAAATTCTATATTGAATGCGTGATTATGAATAAGATGAGCATTTATGCATAACATTTATGCATATTTCAATGATTTAGCAACGTTGATTCTTGTATGTGTTTGTTTGTTTGTGTGCGGTTCGACCGTAGAGACTCATTTCCACTAATTGCAAATATATTAATATTTATATAATTTTTTGAGTCCCAAAATTGATTTAAAATAATTGCGTAACGTAAACTTGTTTATGCATTGCCATCAAAATGAATGCGATTCACTCATTAATTTCATCTTTCTTTCTTCGATAACAAATTTAACATAACACAATTTAATGGGGAATGTTAAGTTATTAAAAATATTTTTTTTGCCTTTTCTTTTTTAAATGAAATGTTGCTGTATTCTGTCTGCCAAGTAGCTCTTGTTGTTCTCAATGATGTTGCTGTGCAATTTGTGCAATACTGTAAGAAACAAAATTAAAAGTTAAATAAATAAGTTGCTTTTTTATACAAAATGAAGATAATTAAAATCATTTATCACTTTAAGCATTGGTAAATGTGCAATGAAATAAAGAATTTAATAATGAATTTAATAAACAAGCCGAATCCGCTTAAATTATTCATCGCGTTAACACAAAAAAAAAAAAACAAAAAAACTCTTTTAATCGAAATACAGAAAAAGTATATGAAAAATTTATAATGGTTTTATGAACTTCTTACTTAGTTATTGCATTATAAATTGCCCATTTGGTTCTTATTTAAAGTTAGACTAACTTTTGACTTAAAATGTTTTACTTAACAAATTATTTTTTTTTTTTTTTGAGTGTTAGTTTTCAATATGTTGCTTTGCTTTAAAAATTACAAAAATGCTTGGGATATGAACTTGTTTTTTTTTTTTTCGTTTTTGGTAATCTTCAATAGGAAGAATAAGCAGCTAACAACAAACAGTTAATATGCCTTATATTTTGTATATGCATTATATTTATAGATTATATTACGAATGTATATAAGTATTATATTTTGCAGCTAGAAAAATTAGCGAAAATATTCATTTTCCTCGTTCTTGTTGTTTGTCTTGCGCGTTTAGATTTTTTGTTTGTTTTTAGTTCATTAAAAGTGAAAATTCAGTTTAGCTTAAAGTCAGTTTAGTTTTAATTTCTCATTTTAAACAAGTGCGTAGGGAGAAAAAAGCGGAAACGGAAAAATCTGTTCAGAAAAATTCCCTAAATGAGTCTCATCTTCATTTTATTTCACAAGAGTTTTTTATACATTTTTTTTTTTAAGTTTCACGTTTACGTTTTCGAAGCAGTCTAAGATTTTGTTGTTTTCGAGTGTTAAAAAACTGTTGAGTTCACTACTAAGTGGTTGGTTTTCTTGCCTTTAAACACACACATAAATATATATTTAATATACTCGTAGATATTTAAGTTTGTAGCGTTAAATAGCCTAATGTGTAAAATGTATTACAGATGGAGAGGTCCAGGACTTTATCCAGGGCTTCAACTTCAACTTGATTTATTTTTATATAGTAGCAACATTATAAATATAAATATTCATATATATGTATGTATATGTGTATAATTTGTTGTGTAAATCTTTTTCAATTCGTGTATAAAATCAGTCGTAGTTAATTATTTTGTTTGGTATTTATCCTTTATGTTAGTTGTGGTTTGGATTGCTACTTGAAAGTTCGGTGAAGTTCTTTGCCAAGCGCTAAAAATGTCTAAATAAATTATTTACCGAATGAATTGATCTTGTTCCTCAAGTTCTAATCTATGTAATCATAGAGATAGCTTACTCCTAATGAGAAAACAGGAAAATCAAATGGGGTCCTTTGACACTAATTCTATGTTGGTTGTTGAGTTACATACAAATTACAGACATTCAAACAGACACTACTCAAGCATGCATATTAAATATATTTTGTTGCTCATATTTTTTGTATTACTCTGTTAAAACATTTGACGGACTAGAAGAATTAAAATCCTACTTATTGAAAAGGTCCAGTTGCGAATGCAAAACGATTTCGGATCGGTTAGACAGGATAACTCGGATCTGAGATCGTTTTGCAATGGACGCTGGACCAAACATAGACACACACACCCATTGATTATTCAGTTACCTGCATATATCTATATGTTATATCCATAATAATTTAGTGGTTCAAGCATTTTGTTCAGAGCTTTCTTTATGCATAATCTAATAATACTTAAAAACACTTCTACGAAGCCAGTTTGAATTTTAATTTACTTTTTGGATTTGGTTTCATTCATCAATTATCGTTCGCTGCTATTTTGCCATTCCTCTACTGTTTTTTTCGAATCCGAACTGCCGCCAATCTACTAGAACTTGTACAAAATTTAAATTCCATACAAATATGCTCAACAATGCCGACAAATGACTTTGATTTACGTTTTTTGTTCCATTCCTTAATAACATTTATCAAAAATATAAACTACAATTAAAATGATTTTTTAGATATGACATACAAACACCGAATATGCTCGTACTTATATGTATATCCTAACATCTAGTTCTGTTCTGTGTAACTTGTGCCTGACAGTCTCTTCATCTTAACCAACCCCAAAAAGAGAGAGAGACCGATCCGTAGATGGATCGATCTCGATTCGATTCGATTCGATTTCGCTTCGATTCCGTTCAACATTCATAGAGAGCTCCTAACAATCACAAAAAAATAATAGCAGCAATAATATACGATTAATATATGTTTATGTGGTGTCTTTCAACGCCAGCATGCATTGCCATTTATTAAACAACACTTACACTTAGCACTACTCAAAATGTCTCAATGGTTTACTTTCGACTTCCTAAACGGTTTTTCACTGTACTTCTCTTCACTTCTGGTGGTGTCACTTTACTTTTGAATTTCCTTTCAAAAATTTCCTTACATTTTTGGCGTCTTTTTTTTGGGGAGGGGACACGCGAATCTCTGCCCCAAAAAAACTAATCACAAATGGCGACACACGCGAAATGCCCAACTACATATACTATATCGGCAATGTTAACATACATAGATCGGTTTGGTTTATATATATATAATATAGAGCAAGATACCAAAGCAAGTGTCAAGGGGCCTCGACGCCTATGTTTGGTTACATATATATATAGAGGGGTTAGAGCACAGTTAATTGGCGGTATAAATCGTTTACATATCGATCTGGAATATCGAAAATAAAACTGCTAATATAGTTAGTTTTGATAGCTCACTGTGCTATACATAGTTACACAATTTATCTTATAAGTATATATAAATATTATTTGTTTTGCATTTTTCCTCTAGGGTTGTGTTGTTTGCTCCTTAACCGATGTTCAAATATATAGAAATATATATATTTAAAAAAACTTCTATCGGTTTTCCGTTTTCGGTTTTCTTTTTTTTTTTGTTGCACAGTCTATTCGATTCTCAATTCATCAATTTATTTATCAACATACATTCACATATATATCCATATAAAGATTAAATAGTTTACCACTACTATAGATAGACGTCAGAGACGAAGAAAAGAGGGCGGGGCAGGTTAAAAGGGATAAGGGAAGGCGGGAGGGTCGGCATCAAAGGGTTAACAACATCGCATCTGTTCAAACCAATATGAAAATCTAAAAAACGCTAGGAAAGTAAAATAAATACAAACAACAAATAAAAATGTAAGCAAAAATAAATAAATAATACAAACGGTTGGTTTTTTTTTATCAGAATATTTATAAAAATCTTTAATGGTTTCTCAGTTGGTTGTTGTGGCATTTGTTGGGTTGTGTTTTTGTGTAGGATTTTACAACAGTTTCGTAGAGCAGCAATTGGTTGCTTGGCTATTGTTTATTAATCATAGTTTATATTAATTGTTATCATATTTGTTGTGTCCCATGTTGTGTGTTTGTAGTTTGTAGTTCGTTTCTTGTATAACATTTAAAAATGTAATAATAATAATAATAGTTGATAAACATAAAAACAAATTTATGCAAGCACAAAATACAAATAAAGGTCCTTGTCAGAAACGGTTTGTGCACGCTAAAATGCTAATAATAAATACAATTAAATAGTATGCATTAGGCCATAATAAATACCATCAATTAGCAGTTTCTTTTGTGTTTTAGGTTTTTTTCATTCAACAATTTTTATATAAAAAATTTTCAACAGTTTTTGTATGTTTTTTTGTTTGTTTTTGTATTTTTTGGTTGTCAAGTAAAAATGTTTCTCACACAGAAAACGTACAATACTTTTGTTTAAACCCTTCATCGTTATTACAGCTACCATTACATCGGTACATCATCTTCATTACAATAAGTCAATTAAAGTCAATTAAGTTTACAACAAGAAAGAACTAAAAAATATATTTTTGTATATTTAATAATCTCACTTAAGTAAATACACACAAAACATAATTAATTATAGAATAAGTCAAATAATAAATTCAAACCAAATCAAAAATTACACAAAGCAAAGCGTTTTTTCAAAACAAACAAAGAGGAAACTATTTTAGTTAAATACTACGTTTTTTTGTTTAATACAGTAATGTAAAAATATATTCAAGAAATCTAATACCTGCTTTTGTGTGGGTGTGTGTGTTAATGGGGGAGGCGACATGGGCTTTTTTGGGGGGCGGGGTTCGCGACGCGTTCCAAGCAAAACCAACAAAAATAGTGATTACCTTTAAAATTACAAAATAAACATTTTTTAAATGCTGTTCCTGTTAATGTTGCGTTTGTAGTCTCAAAAAGTTTTATTTCCTTGCCTTAAAAGTACATTAAATATTCACTTTAAATATCTAACTTGTTATCTTCCTTTTCAACTAACCCTTAAAGAACACTTTCGTTAGGTTTGCAATCATTTGAGGCCTATCAAAATAAATGCTTTAAATTCAAATCATTGCAAGCTAAAGAGTCTAGATGCATACAGTACGTAACACAACAATAAAAACTTCGTAAATCAAACAAATTGTCCAGTAAGGGAATTAACAACTTATTAGATCTCAAATTCAGAACATTCCGTTGCGCACTGTGTGTACATATTTTATATTGAATACCTATTACACTCGAAGAAACAAACATAAAAAAGCGATTGGTCTGGCTTGGCTTGGCATGTTTTTCTTCCCTTTCTTCATTATAACTATTTAATTATTTGAGATTTGTTTCCTCTACTCGTTAAAGTGTTTATCATACATTAATATATATAAATACACATGCGTATGTGTGGACATATGCATATTTAATTGTATAATTATAGTAGTTATAAATGTTTTAAGTCTTCTGCGCTGATTGCCAACTTTCAGTTAAATGTTACTTGTTTTGTTTACACTCTCTTTAAATAGATTTATGCACACGCTCAAGTTAAGAAATTGCCACTAACATGGAGAGGGCACAGCATTAAAAACATTCGCCTGATGTACATAAATATCGCCTTGTTTTTTATTTGATATACACATTTTAATATTTATTTAAATTCAATTTGACAACAAATAATTTTTTTTCGCATATAATATAGTAATATAGTTTTAGGCAAAACAACAAATTCGTCCGTGTTGCTTTTAAACAAAGAAACTATTTTAAAATAAATGCCTAAACAAAAAATAGTTCAACAATTAAGAACAAAGATTTCAACTATTTTCAGTGCGTTTAGTTGGTTTTGTTTAAAATTAAGAAACGGAAAAAAGGTTTTTGTCTGCATTATTATTAGGGTTGGTTATTCCATCATTTCTTTCTCCAGTCGTTTTACAATAAAACAATGAAAAAACATAAAAACTAAGCGAGTATAAAAATTGTGAATTGTTGTTTGTGTCGCGGTTCGGTTTTGGGATCGGTTGATTTCGTATAAAAGTAGCAAACATGTCTTAGAAGATAATTAAATTATGTATACATATAAATAATCAGTAATCAATAAGTAGTATAATCAAAAATAATTTATAAACGTAAAAAACAGTTATATAATATATAATGTATCAAATGTTTATGCAATCAAAAATAATAATAACAAACAATTTTCGCAATCATATATCTAAGAATTACAATCAAATATTAATTAATTAATGCTCGATACGCGGTTTCCATTTTTTTTCTTTTCGACATTGTTAAGCGGTTAATTGTTTAATTTATGTTATATTCTTATTTTTTTTTTTTTGTTAATTTTTATGATATTTTTGTTTTTGTTTTGTTTGCAGTCTGCAACGAACATAAAAGTGGAGGGATTTCTTTCTGGTATTTTATAGAGTTAAAAAATTGTCATTTCTTTTGTGTTGTTTTTTGTTTTGTTTGGTGCGCTTTTTTCATCGACGACAGCCAAAACGAATGAGAGACTTGCACGCGAGAGAGGAGGGTTCGAAGTGAGAAGTGTGCAAAGATATATAATATATAGAGTGACGGCGGCGGCACTATACGCTTTGAACATGAACATGAATACACATATATATATTTATCATAAACAAATACACACAAAATAAAAACTAAGCTTAACAGTGTAAATATATATATAAAAAAAATAAAACAAAATTCAACAATAATTTAAAAGATAATAAAAAAATCATTCCAACAGTGTGCGTGTGTGTGTTACTACATAGCGAGCAAAGTCTAAGGCTATGAGAGAGAGAGAGAGAGTGACAGAGATGACAGATCGGCGAAGGAGATAAGGATAAGGGATGTACAGATTACAGTTTTCAGTTTCGATTTCGATTGCGTAGATTTAGAATTAGAGCTGGAGAGACCGCGCAAGTCAGACTATTGAGAACTTAGCTTAGAGCAGTGTTGAGAGCCGGACCACAGATCCTTCTCCATTCCGGACTCCCATCCTTGGAGTGTGTATCTATCTGTGTGTGGGTTTGTGTGTGTGTATGTGTTGTGTTGTGTTTACATACCCACTGGCGCCAATTGGACATAGCGATAGATGTAGAGCCGGTAGTCCTTGCTGGCCAGCACCACACTGCCATCGTCCATGAGCGCCACATCGAAGCACTGGGCGTGCTTCACCTTCGACTCGAGCGCCGAGATCAGCTGGCCGTCCTGCGTGAAGATCGTCAGATTGAAGTTGTTGTGATTGTCCGCGATGAGAATCTCTCCATTCGAGTTGATCCCGACGCCAATTGGATAGTTGGTGATGCCCTCGCCGCCAATCTGACGCAGATACTGGCCCTCGTAGTTGAACACCTTGACGCAGTGCGCCCGATTGTCGCTGATGAAGATCTCCTGCTTGTCGTTCACGACCACACCGTTGGGGAACTCCAGATGCTTCGAGCACCCGAACTTGTGCAGCACATTGCCGTTCTGATCGAAGATGATCACCCGCATCACTTTGCACTCCACCACAATGATCCTGCCCTTGTTGTCCACGGTGACGCCGCGCGGATGCTGCAGTATGGTGGCACCGAACTTCCTCACAAACTGGCCATACTGATTGTAGATCTGGATCTGGTGCGTCGGCGAACGCTCGGTGACGATGATGTCGCCCGAATTGCGCACCACCGCCACTCGATTCGGGTAGAGCAGCTGCGAGTCGCGCTTGCCGCACTCGCCAAACTGGAACTTGAAGCGTCCCTCCTTGTCGAAGATCTGGATGCGGTGGTTGTTCGTGTCCGCCACGATGATGTCGTTCTGGGCATTCACCGCCACGCCGCTGGGCTCCGTGAACTGGCCCTCCATCACGCCGAACTCGCCGAACTTGCAGTGGTAGATCATCTTCTGGCGCTTGATCTGCGACTTGGGCGGATAGATGGTGGCCGAGAGCAGCTTATTGGTCAGATCGAGCAGCGATTCCGAACTCACAGTGCTACCGCCGGCTCCACCTCCACTCACCACCGTTCCGCCGACCGAAGACAGACTGGCGAAGGCATCGGCCACAGCCGAACTGCCGGTGACTCCTCCCGTCACCGAGGAGAAGAGATTATCGCTGCCGCCGTTGCTCCACTTCTCGTACGGATTGTAGTGAGCCACGGTGCTGTTGGCCGATCCATTGCTGCCGCTGTAACCGCCTCGCTTGGGCATCAGTTCACCGAAATGCTGATCCACCGACAGGGCGCTGCGATCGCGTCCGTTCAGCAAGAGTCCGCCGTTGCTGAAGGCTCCGCCGGCTCCACTTACATTCGAGCTGCTGTCCAACAAGCTGGCGCCAGTCAGACCCAATCCCAATCCATGCAGCGACGACTGCGCCTGCAGCTGCTGATGGTGCGACTGCGTCTGGTGGTGACTGTGGTGGCCGTGGTGGTGCGACTGCTGGTGGCCATGGCCATGGTGGTTGCTGCCCGCACTGCTGGCGCTGCTGTTGCTCGCACTCTGTGTGGGTCGGGCAATTGGCGGCTGCTTGCCGTGACCGTTGCTAGTCAGGCTCAGGCCATTGTGACCGCCGTCCAAGCCGCTGGCGCGTATGTAACCGAAGGTGTTGCGAACGCCGGCCTGAATCGACTGGTAGTTGGACATGAACTCCATCTCGAAGGGCATCTGCATCTCCTGGATGCCCATCTGCAGCTGCTGTTCCAGCGATTTGCGTACGAGCAGTGCCTCCGCCAGCAGGGAGGATGGCGGAGCCGGGCAATGTTCCACTGCTTCGCAGGTGGCCATGCCCTTCTCGATCAAGTCGCGCGATCGCAGCTGCCACGAGCTGTTGCTGTTCACCTTGGCCGTGTAGAGGGTCTCCAGTTCCTTGAGCAGCTCCGTCTTGCGTTCGTCCAGCATGGAGGCAAAGAACTGGTGCGTCTCGTTCAGTTCGTTGTGCGCCTTCTGGTATTGCAGCTTCACCTTGGTGAGATTCTGGTCCGAATTGCCGGCAATGCCGACAATCTCGCCAATCTTGCCGCGCATATCGGCGAGCAGGGTCTGCAGCGCCGTCTCATTGGCCGTCGATCCCGTCGAGGTTGTCAGTCCGGGCGACTGCACGTTCTCCAGTTCGTGGAGGCCCGTCGAATGCTCCATCACAATGCACTCCTTGCACACGAGAACGCAGCAGGTGCGGCAGCTGAACTTCAGCAGCTCCTGTTTGTGTCGCAGGCAGAAGAGTTGCCTCTGCTGCTGTTGTTGCTGTTGCTGCTGTGACTGCTGCTGCTGCTGTTGCTGGGAATGCAGTGCACCGTAGATGCTATCTTCCCGCTGTTGCTCCTGGGAATTTGCCTGGGCAGCGGCGGCCAGCACAATCTTCGACAATTGCGACATTGGCTGCGCCGGCAGCAATTGTTGCTGCTGCTGCTGCTGTTGCTGCGAGTCGAGTTGCTGCTGCTGCTGCTGCTGCTGCTGCAGCATCATGGTCAGGGAGCTGGCGTACTTGAACTCATTCGAGGCCGGATTGTTGCTGGGCGAGCCCACGGATAGGGGAGAACCACCGGTGGTGGTGGTGCTCGCCTCGAAACCCTTGATCAGGCACACATTGTGCCCGTTGAAGCAGTGCATGAACTCGTGCGCGGTCACACAATTGGCGCACAGGTAGCTCTGGCAATCGAAGCACTTGGCCACCGCATCGCTGCACTTGCTCTTGCAGGCGGTGCACCGCGGCGGTGATCCATTGGCGGATGTGTTGCTCGACGAGCTGTTGCTGTTGTTGCTGCTGCTGTTGCTGTTGCTGTTGTTGCTTCCCTTGCCGGCTCCCACGACCAGACTGCTGATGCCGGAGTTGCTGCTACTGCTGCTGCTTCCGTTGCTCCCGTTGTTCGAACCCTGGAGATTACTGCCGATGACGCCGGGTCCGCCGTTGCTGCTGCTGACCACATTGTTGGCGCTGATCACACTGCTGCTGGTGCTGCCGCAACCGCTGAGGCCGCTGGTCGAGGAGCTGGACGAGGACGAGGACGAAGACGAGGATGACGACGACGAGGACGACGAGCAGGAGGATGAGCTGGCCGATGAACTGGACGACACCGAGGCCGAGATCGGATGGTGGCCATTGATCACCGTCACCTCGGAACGCGACTTGACGCTGCTCCCGCCCGTGTACTCATCACTGCAGATCGCCGAGTCGCTGGCCGGTGGCGATGAGCCGCTCAACGTGAGCGGTGAGTCTGAAAGGTAGCCGGCGTGTTCGTACGATTCAATCGAGTTCGCTCCACCGCGCATCGAGTCCAGAGATGGTGTCGGTGAGGACGCCATCTTTGTGGTGTAATTGCCGTCTGTGGCTCCGTTTACCTTTAGGAGTAACAGCTGCAATGAAATATAAGCAAGGTAGGAATTTATTATATGCTGTTTAAAACATTTTAAAACATTATCATAGGATACTTATTTGATTTTAAATATTTATTTATATTTATATCACTGTCATTTCATTTCCTTTTTTCTTTGCTTAAACAACCAATTTCCCTTCCCTAAATCAGACTAACCCATTAGTCACCTGCGGCCCTTGTCCTTTATCCTTATGAGTCAGCAGCTCCTCCACTTGAACCGAAACGTTTTGGCATTTCCATGACCCCTCCCCTCCCTCCCTCCTCACCCTCCCCCCAAAACAAACAAATGTGCCACACCCCTCGTAAAGTGGGGCCCCCTTTTTCTTAGTCATCCCCTTTGTTATCATAATTTGTAGTTAATTGCCTCCTGCCAAACTGGCATGCCTAATCCCCTAAAGCGCGACAGCTGTGACCCGTGTTTTATTAAACATCTTCGAAGACAGTTGAAAGGTATTACTATTACCCAACCACTCCCCCCGAAATGGAATCGAATCAAACTAGGAAACACACGCCCCCACGCAATGCTTTTAAAACACAATTTCAATTTCTTACGCCAGAGCGAAGAGCAAAGCTAAAAGTGAAGCTGGCTGTACGCCGCAGTCGGGATAAAAGGACTTTGACCGGGAAGTGGAAATCCCGCCCCTTACTTATTCACTACTGGCCCCCCAAAAAAACCGAACACCCAAACCTTTATCCTTCGCTCGGTGACGGACACAAATGCAATAAACGCACGCACAGACAGAAGGACACCCCGTAATCATAATTCTGCTTCCCCTTTTCGCTGCCTTCGCGGTTCGTTGCCTTCGAGAAGAAACGCGAGGAGTCGAGGGGGAGTAACGAATAAATGGGGAGTCTCACAACAAACCACCGTCGCAGAAAGTAAACACAACAAAAAAAAAAAATATATTCTGGGAGCCCCGGAGAAACTTCTCTAGATTTCCAGAGCAGGCGAAACTTCCGTCAACAAGAAAATCAACGTATAAGGCAATTGAAGTGAAAGCCAAGAGAGAGAAACGGAAAATCAACCCCGAAAAATGCGCCCAAGGGGGGGGAAAATGTTGTATGCCGGAGGGGATGGGGGAAAAGGGACTGCAACTGTCTAGACTGAATGTACATTTATCATGCACACACACACACCCGTGCCAAATGCCACTCACAGTAGTCCCTAGAAATCCTTTCTAATTTCACAAACATTTTCATTTTCGTTTCGAAGGAAACTAATTCTGTTCCCAATCATTTTTACTAGGTAAGGAAAATTCCATTTCTAAGCCCTTAATATTATAATATTTATAAGAATTTTGTACTAACGTATTACTTATTATATTTATCCCAAATTTGGATACTTTTTATTTGGCTAACTAAGCTATGCATTTTAAATGCATTTAAGTTTATGTACAATGTTTTCTTTAGCATACAAATGTAAGTATTTTTTTATATTTAAAACAATTTAGAAAATATTTTTTTTAAATAATCATAAAACTAAAATAAGCTTATAAAATTTGTATGGAAACATTTGCTGCCTCTTTTGAATTAGAATGCTCCTTTACCCTCAATTCTCGTAATCCCTGATAACCAATATCTAACGGTAATTTTCCCTACAACATAAGCCTTGCACAAAACAAAAAAAAAAGAAGAAAAACTCGTTAAACGGAGATAAGCCGACTTACCTTTACTGTTTTTTGTCGTATTTTGTTGTAAAATTTTCTATATTCCAGTTGCGTTTCCTGGTTGTTTTTGCTGTTGTCACTTCTTGTTGCTAGTTGGTGTTGCTTTCTCGCTTTCTCGCTCTTTCACACTACGCAGTCTATATAATAAATTGCGTGGGATGGTTGCCGTTGTTGTTTTTATTGTTGCAGTAACAAGTTGAAACAAATTTGTGTAGCATACTTTCTAGTGCTGTCAGTTAATTGCGTTTCGCGCACAAAAGGCTGCAATGGAAAAAGAGCACGAATATTATTAGGAAGGATAATTGAATGCAAGGTTAATAGAGTTTTTTTACTTTATATTTCTCGTTTATTACAGTGACGTGCGCGGGTTGATTTTCCGGCAAGGACACCACTGCAAGCAACAACAAAAATTAAGCTAAAATGTTTGCTGTCTATGTACAATTGCGTCTGTGACGTGAATGCGACGCGTTTTCCTGGGAAACTAACTCTGCGCATAATGCAGCGACCCGGGTAAAGCTCAGGTTCCGACAGCAGCAGCGACGCCGACAGAGGCAGAGAGCGGCAAAATGTCCTGGGGATTTTCCTGCACCGAAAAAAAACCAACAACAAACGAGCCAGTTGCAGCAATGCAATGCAATTGCTATTCCCGTCTGAGATTTTTTTGTCGTCTGGAATTTAACCAAAGAATCTCCTTGCGAAATACAGTGGGCGAAATGGCTAGAAATTGTCCGGGAAAAATCAATACATCCTATTTACATTTACAAAGAGAGCGGTAGCGACGACGAGCCCAAAAAAGAGCGCTCTTTTTGCCGAACTGTTGAATGCCGGCTGCAAAAGCAACAATACAACTGCACACTTATCACCACCCTCTTAGTGCCACCCCCTCTCTTTGCTTATGTTTTAGCCACCCCTAAAACAATATGGCGGCCACTCACCCACAACAAAACAAAAAAAAAAAAAGGAAAACCTGCCCTCCACCCACTGAAAGAGCAACAATTTTCCACGGCAAAAGATTTTTTGCGAGCGCTACAGGTTGCGTGAGAGTAAGTTGAAGAGAGAAAGCACAGAGCGGTTAAAATGGAACGAGAGATGGAAGGCCCAGAGAGAAGAGCTGCAAGCAGGAAGCGATAAACGATAACTACACAAGAAAAAATCCGTTCGATGTTAAACAAAACTGCAGTCTAAACGAAACGAAAAATAAATATTTTTTAATGTTGTTTTGGCATTCAATACTTTTAAGTAAAAATATATTATCTAGTCGTAAGCAATACAATAAATCAGGAAACATTTTTTCCAGTGTACGGCCTGCGCATGTTTTTCTTCCCATTTTGGGCAACGACCGCATCCAAAAGCAATAAAAACAAACGTTCTCTCACATTCCATTTCTCCCACACAGCCCCTCTCTCTTTCTCATATCACTGTTCTATGCTGCCCCAGAACATTCGAGAGGAAGAGACTACTATGCTAGAAATGACGTTGCAGCAGCATCATCGCATTCACATCTCATCAACATAACTGCATAGCGAAAATTTCTGTATACCGGCAGACACGGCAGCGGGAAAAAGACGACAAACAGAAGAGGGCGGAGAGCGGAAGAGATGAGAGGAAAATAGCCAGACGACAGGCACATAAATCCGGACAGGGAAAACAGACACACACTCTTGCAAATACATAAATACAGATTTACACGTGTAAAATAGCGGCATAATCTTTTTTCTGCAACATTACCAACTGTTGCAAATCGAGGAAAATGAGGGAGGCCAAACAAAATTTGCGAAGATCTTTAAAAGGTATCGATCACTCACTTTAGCACTTTTTGCTTACACCTGACACGCACTCACATGTATTTATACTCATCGGAACCTGACTCATAAATTTACCACCGGCAATTTCAACAAATTAGTTAATAAATACAAGAATAGCACCAAAACGTCACTGCTCAAAGGGGCAAAGCGGCCACCTTGCTTGCGAATACCCTTCTTATCTTTTACGCTTGGTAGTGTTTAGTTGTTTATGATTAGTATTTATACGGTAATTTGATTTTAAACAACTACAAAAAAATTTTTTTTCTTTTATTAACTTAAGTTAGTATTGAAATATAACTAACTTTAAGTAAAAATACATATTTATCGGTTGTAGAAGAGGAAATGTAGGGGGGCTGATAATGAGTGGATTGTCTATTGATTAGATTAGCAAATTTTGTGGAGATAGATAGGAGACAGAAAGCAGACAACAGAAGTTGGTGTTAAATTGGTTTGGGCCAAATCAAACTGACAGTTGGATTGTATATCATGACAAGATTAATATCATTTGGGGCCACGGGCCATTAAAAGAATTGTATCGTCTCCGCTTTACGAAAAGAGGGAGTGGGGTGTATGCCATATGTTTTACTTGACGCTCTTTTGGGGCGGAAGACAGAGGGGTCCACCAACAAATTCCAGACCGCTTGTAAAAGTGTTTAAAAATAGAGCGGGCTAATAATCAGAAATGCGAGTGCAGTGCACTGAGGGCGTGCCCGAACCCCCCAATTCCCTCTGCCACCTTCCACAGAAAAGAAGAATAATTGAGGGAGGGCAGAAGAAAGACTGAACAAGAAAGGGAGCAAAGCGAAGCAAAAGAATCGACGTGGTTACCCCATGTGAGAAGTGGAACAAACTGCGCACAGGCATTACTAATGCAAAACAATTTGTACAAGATTATAAATTTCATGGCTCTGGGGAAGTAGAAAGAAAAGAAAACCAAACAAGGCAATGCGATGTGCTGATGACGATGATTATGGAAAAAATAATGATCAGGAACAAGAGCGGATACAGCGCACCAAGTTCAAGCCAAATCTTGAGTGTGGGAGAAAAAAAGGGGGATACAACCCAGTACAGTCGAGCCTTAATAAATCAGATTTCATACCAGTCATAGATAGCTATCTCGGCCTTTGGACAAGAAATGTTCAACAATTCTATTTTTCTATGATTCTGATTCTGTTTCCCTATAGGTCAATTATTTATGAGATGATAAAAACTTCGAGAATATACCTATTAAATCAGGTTGAATTTATTGAAGTACCACTGTAATTCCACAAAAATGCAAAACGAACCACAACACCAAGAGAAGGAAGTGAGGAAAGAAGCAGGGCGAACGTTCTGGTTCTGCAGCAAAATAAACAAGGCTGTATGTTCAACTTCCATGCATTCCCCTGCGGAGTGATTTTGGGGTTGCAACTGCAGCAGAGTTCAATGGTACCAAAAGCGGCAATACCAGCAACAAAAAAAAAGGCAATTAGCATGACACATACACCCACAGATAACGATGGTCAAGATATTGGCAGTTAAAAGTGGATATTCACATTTAAAAATGCATTTATGTTAAGGTGTCTTCTGATGAGAATCAAATTGGATTATTGCATTTTTATTAAATACATACTTTTGTGAAAATTATACTAATAAAAGTAAACCAGTTTTGATTTTGCATAATAATTACATATTTCAAAATAAATAAATTTCAATTATTGCTACTGTGAGTTAATTTGTTGTTTGACACCTCTCAATTTAACGACGTTCTTTTATTTCTATAAACGGAATAAAATTACGTAAGCTTTAATTTAGAATTAGTTAAATTTAAACCAGTTATTGCTTTGCTTGTTTTTCTGTTTGGTTTTTAAACGCTCTAAGCCATCTTGAGTATGTACTATTATTTTGGCCCCAACTATATGCAGAGGATACAGAACCATTCAACTGCAGCGAAAAATAAAAGAGAAGCCCAGCACAAAGAGCAAGCCATAAAACAGAACAAAGAAAACTACCTTTACCTGCTCGAAACACAGACACACACGATTTCTTCTAAGCGAGACAACAACAAATATGCTGTCAGTTGGCAGATAAAATATCCGTTCCGATCCCAATTCCAATCTTCAATCCTCATCCCATAACAACCATCCCATGGCATCCTCAGTTCGAACGCAAAGGCACCGCCAGCATCACGACCGCTGCCTTGGTTCGATGCAAATTACGATACAGTAGATACTGGCAAAAGGAATCGGAGGGAAAATTACTATATGACTTTAAGATGGAATTAAAATAATCCAAATTGCGTGGACGTGTGGACTCTACACATACTAGGTAAAAGTCTCAAAAGGTTCAGATATGGTTAGTTCTTTTTCATAAATATAAGATTGTTTTTCTCCTATTCAGAGCCACCTACATTATTATATCGTTGAGTACCTCCTGATCTTCACTGTAATCCCCAGAGAAATTCGTCGAATTCTGCGACGTTTGCTCCTCCCGCATTTCGAGTAGTTTTTTTTTTGTTAATTTTTTTTCCCGACAACGACGCCAGCTATGCGTCAGCCGAGATGCGACCCCCAAAGCAGCAGCTGCTGCTGAATGAAATTGACTTGACGCATTTTATTGAAGGAGACAATGGGCAAAAAACGAAACCAAAAAAGTCTGCACAAGGGAGTTTTATTGTTGCAAAGAGGAGGAGAAGAAAGGAAGAGGACAAGGAGAAGAACAGCAGCATCCAATTTAGCAGAGGGTCCCGAGATCCCAGACGCTCTTCCTCGTCATCTCCCTCCCATTCTCCCATCTTTCTTTCGTCGGTCGTTCTCCCACGATTGTTCTCTTCTCCCTCCCACTCGCATCAAAGACCCCGCAGGTCAACGGCGTCGTTGCAGTTCTTGTTCTTTTTTTTTTGTCTCCTCTGTTTTTTTCTGCACAACATTTTTCTTTCTTACTGCGCTTTGTAGTGTCTGTGGTTCGTTAGCTACTTCTTCATCGTCCTCTGCTCTGCTGCTCTGCTTACGGGAGCAAGCGAGAAGGCATGTGTCTGTGTGTCCTGGCTTCGACAGTGGTGGTAGGAAATATCGAGACAACCTTGCACAGGTACAGTGTCGGCTGAGAACAACTCGAATATTCCAACATGTTTTAAAAATCTTAAAAGTCACGATAAAATGATATGTTTTAGATTTGTTTCCCAACACGTTTATGGGTGATTTTTGTTTTCCTTTAAGATTACTAAACCATTTATCCTTACAAGCTTTTTCTGACAACAAATTGTAAGTCATTCTGCTACATTGCATACTTCAAAAAACTTCGCGTTTTAAGTGAAAAAATATGTAGGGTTCTCTATTACTTTACAAAAGATAAAAACAAAATTACTTTTTAAAATAAAAGAAACGAAAACTATATAACACGTAAAATGTATCTAAAAACTCATAGATAGTGAAGGCTGAACAGAGTATCTACAAGTTACATAGATAACAAAAAGAA